GAGAAATTATTTCTGATTTCATTTTTTCCAGATCCCCTTTTGTTGCCAGTTCAGTGGGTCCAGGTGGTTGAGTATCAGAGTGTTCCATCTTATTTTCCTTTTGAGTTGCTGTAGGTGATCTGGAAGTCTGGTTTTGAGACTTATTTACGTGTCTTCTCATTTCGACTGGAGGTGGGGCTGGGCCGGTGCTCTTGGTGCCTGCGTGGCTGACCTTCTCTGAGCTGGGAGAGGTGGGACAGGGGCTGGGAGTAGCGGGATGGATGGTGGCCAGGAAGCTCCTTCCTCTGGGCCAGGAGCTGTGGGACACACAGCTGCCGGGAAACCTGTTCCTCTGGGCCGGGAGCGGTGGGAAAGACAGAGTCTCGGAAGCCCCTTCCTCTGGGTCTGGAGCAGCAGCACTGATGGGGTCCCCAAAGCCCTTTCCTCTGGGCTGGGAGTGGCAGGATGGATGGTGGCTGGGAAGCCCCTTCCTCTGGGCCAGGAGCAGTGGGACGGAGGCTCAGAAGCCCCTACCTCTGGGCCAGGAGTGGCAGGATGGATGGTGGCCTGGAAGCTCCTTCTCTGGGTTGGGAGCGGTGGGCTGGATGGTGGTCCAGAAGCCCCTTCCTCTCCAAAGATACTTTTGAAAGGAACTCTTGACTATTCAGTGTCTCTCATGATTCAGTTTATAGCATATCTGCACTGGTGCTTTTCTCTTTCTCCAAAATCTTAAAATGGTTGGTTCTATTTATTCCCTATCAGTCTGTGGCCAGAGTAATTGAGAACCCAAGACACTCAAAATCTTGTATGCATTAATAATTTAAATGAATAGGAGAAAATAAAAATAATTTATCTTTACATTTGTCACTTCTAGTGTCACTACCTTAAAACTCATGAGGAAAACTATTTGTGAAATGCCGGCTTTCAAAGTAGTACAGGTTGAGTATCACTTTTCAGAAGCATTTTGCAATTTTTCAGATTTGGGCATATTTGTGTATACCTAGTAATGTACTTTCGATTGGACTGTACCTTATGCATATAGTTTACAGGTAGCATTATAAGGTTTTTAAAATTAATTTTGTGCATGATGCGAAGTTTGGTGAATTAGAATTTTGTATCACTGATAACGTGGCAGTGCTCCAAAGGTTTCAGGCTTTGGAGCACTTAGGATTTTAGATAATCTGATTAGGAACACTTAAGCTGTCCTTACCCGTTTTTTGGCCTTTGAAAATTTATTTCAGTTTTTAGATTATTTAGAATGTTTAGTATATGTTTGCTGTACATGATTACATTGATGATGGAGAGTTGGTACATGTATATAACCCATCTTAAGTTTTTAAGTTTTCCCTAGTCTATCTCTTCCCTCCTTCTCTCTAGATATGATTTCCATTTGGAAAGATTTATCTCTGTATTTCATATTATCTGTTTTGTATTATGTTATAAATTATTTATACTTTGAGTTTCTGCATAAGTGAAACCATGTAATATTTATACTTGTGTTTCTGATTTATTTCACTTAGCATTATGGTCTCAGGTGCCTCTATTTTTCTACAAATGTTTCAGATCATATTTATGTTTTCATTTTTTTTTTTTGGTACCGGGGATCATACTCAGGACCTTGCGCTTGCATGGCAGGTGCCAGAACCACTGAGCTAAATCCCCCGCCCTCATATTTATGTTTTGATCCTTGAACTATGAATGTATAAATCATGTGCAGACCTTGTATAAGGGGTAATCGAAAATATCATGAATATTAAAATTTTAAAAATTATTACAGTACAATACACATTGCTATGAATACCCCTCAGAATACTCCTCTTTGATTTGAACACACTTATACCATTGTTTTTGCCACTTTTTGAAGCAGTTTTGGAAATCGTCTTTCATGTCTTTAGTTGTGCTGGCATATCCTGATTCTATTCAAGACATTTACCTTTAATGGTCATTTTGACTTGGGGAAGAGCCAGAAGTTGCATGGTGCCAGATGTGGTGAATAAGGTCGATGAGGGCACACCATAATGTTTTCAAGAGCCTCCCTTTCCTCTATGGGATGGCAGTTCCCAGTAATGGCATGCACTGTGTTTTTGATCGCATCTCCTATAGATACTTACCAAAGAGAACTTCCAGAACTGCTTGAGAAATTGTAGAACTGCAAGGAAAAGACTGTAGACTTAGAAATGACTGTAGACTTAGACTATAGACTATTGCCAAAGAATGTTTAGTTAAATTCTCTTGGTTCCTAAGCTTGAGTGCAAAATCTGCAATGTCCTGATACTGGAAACATTTTGAGCATCAGTGCTCAATTTTGGCTTTTTGCCTTTTTGTATTGGGGGTTCTCACACCATAACATCTATACAAGCAGTTCAAAATCTGAAAAATTCTAAAATCTGAAATACTTCTACTCCCAAGCATTTTAGATAAGGGAATTTCAATCTGTAGTAGCAATGAATGGAAAACAGATATTTAGACTTTAAAATTTGTCTTGATTTGGTAGTAATACACACTAATGATAACTAAATATTCTCTGACTTCGAGAGAAGTTAGAAATATGCAGTGAGATTGTACAAGATTGATTTGGAGAAACATCCTTTGGTGATTGAATATTCTGTTTTATTTTTATATGTGGGACAGAAGAAATCTCAACTGATTGCTCTAAGTAAAAATTCAGTGTCAAAGATTTTATTGTCAGACAGTGAAGCAGTCACGGATCTCTCCTGTCTATTTCTTTATTGCTTCTTTACTTTCTGCCTTACTCGTAACTGTTGTTTTCTCTCGTGTGCTGTGCTTGGCCTCCTGTTTTCTTTAACTGCCGCCCTGTCCTCACAGGTAAAGAGAGATGCCTTTTCTTTCCTGAAGTTAGCAGTGGCCCTAAATTATTTTACATCTGACTCTCTCTCCAAAACCGGAGAACCACAGTCCCAATACTTAGTGGACATCTTAATTGAATGTCCCAGGCACTACCAAATTTTTAAAAGTTTGAGCCTGAATCGACAGCCTTCCTTCAGTCATCTAAGCCAGCTGTTTTTGCTGACTCCTTTACTACCATGACACCACCATTCTGCCCATACTTAGGCTTCGATCTTGGTCACATCTTATTTTTACTCGGCTTGTATTCCATCAGATGTCAATTCCCAAAGTTTTTTCTACTAGAAATCTTGTTTTTTCCTTGTTTTATTTTCTCATGTAGACCTTCTCTCCCTATATTATTGCAGTATCTCAAGTCCCTTAGTCTCTCCATTCCAACATTGCTGGCTGCGATATATTGCTAGACTGTGCTTCTAATTATATCCATTTTAGCTCCAAACCATTAATGCTTGTTTGTCTGTTTTTGTGATACCTGCTTTGCCTAGACTCTTTGCAACTCCATGTCTGCCTCCTTATGGCCGCACAACATACCTTGAGCTCCACCCAAACTGGCTCAGTCATTCTTCAGATGTGCTAGACTTTGGTCTGTATCACTTACATTGCCAAAAATCCTTTTCCTCTCTCCTTTCCCACACCTGTCCAGAGCAGAGTCACCTGAAGGAGACCCTCTGCACATTGTACCCTAAGTTTCTGCCACAGCTCTAAGATCTGAAGTGTGCCTCTCTATTGATCCAGCACTCTCAATTATGATCATTAATGTTATAAAATAGTTACCTTACGTATATAGGTATGTGTTCGAGTATGTTTGCACTCATATACTGATGTGGAAAATTGGCCACTGAATATAGGTGTAATTGCATTCAAAAAACTAAGCATAGCTTTTACCACATAGTTCCAGTGAACTCAAAGATTAGTAGAAGAGGTTTTATGAGCCAAGGAGCTGAAAGCAGAGGTGAGTCAGAGCCAGCCCCTGCCTGAGCAGCTCACAGGGTAGGAGAGATAAGCAACGTCAAGCTCCCTCCTGCTGAGCACATAACCAACACCCCCCCCACCCCAGCCTAAATGTGACAGAATATGCAGGTGCCAGCCCCAGGAGGCAAGAGCCCAGTTTCCTTTCCACAAGAAGGAGGACAAAGAACAGAAGAGGGCTGGAGAGTAAAGTAAGTGTGGTCTGCATTGTCTCTGTGCTCCTCTCCCCTGTGTTCCGTACCATAGAAGACCCTTGCCCACCTGGACAGGGCAGGGTGATGATTTGAAGCAAATTCCCCCCCATCTCTTCAAAACTAGATATGAATAAATCCTTTTTTCCTTTTTACCAAAAGAAAAAAACTTAGCACGTACAAGTTTGTGTGCTTGTGTATTTGTATGTCTGTGTAAATGCATCCATAAAAAATTGGAATTATATACACAAAAATGTTGAACAGTGGTTATGTGCATGTGCGTATATGTGTAGGGAGGAGGTAAAAGTTATGAAGGACTTATAATGTGCTTATCCCAAAAATGTTAACATTTGCTAATGTTGAGTGATGCTCTGTGGTGTTGGTTATACTGATTGTTGTATTTGATAATTTTCAATAGAAACAAAAACTGGAGAAATGTAGTAGTAGATTTGAAATATACACTGAAGTTCAAGTGTACATTTATACGTATTTATCAGTGTGGTTTTTGCTTGCAAATAAACAGCATTGAATTTGGTCCATGTGCATTTACACAGAAGAGTAAGAAAATATTTGAATGATACCACAGTGCTTACACAGAAGTAAGGCTGAGCCCATTTCACATATTTTATGTAATCATTAAGTGAGTCTGATTTAGTTTTATATGCTTGTTTTTAACGGAGGTAAAGAAGACATGAATGATATATGTTTGTTTTACGGTGTTCTAGGTGCAGCCAACACCACAGTGAGCTTCAATCTGGAGGAAGAGATGACCACGTAATTAGACATTTCCTTACAATTATTTTATTAACTTTTCCTGTATCAATACATTTATAGAAATGTTTAAAATTTTGCATTATCCTAATGAGAAATTGAAATTTTAAGGAGAACATTACTGTTGTCAGGTTTCAAGGAGGTTATGGTGTAGAATATTTTTTGAATATTTTTAAACAAAAGTATGTGTTGTATAATATGGAAGCCTAAATAGTTATGCATGCCTTGTGAACTGTAGAATACAATACACATGGAAATCAGAAAAGTCTAATGTACTATTTTAAAGTACAGTTGAATCTGTAATCTTAATTTTTATGTTGTTCTTTTCTTTTTGGTACTGGGGATTGAACTCAGGACCTTGCGCTTGTGAGGGAGGCGCTGGAAGCACTGAGCTAAATCCCCGGCCTGCAATCATAATTTTTAATGGCTTTGTAGTTATTAGTTTTTCTTTTGGATATGTTCAGTCATAAGATCAGCCAACAGAAATTTTTTTAATTGAGCATCTAATTCTCAACAATGAAATAAAACATTCCAGAAGTAATATAGTCACTCTGACCTTAATTCACCTCAGGAAAACTTTGTTAATGATTTACATTATCTTGAAGTTTACTCCCCAGAATAGTTTATAACTGAGTTGTAAAGAATACAGTGATATCTCAGTTCACCAACTAGATTCATCCCACGATTCTGGTCACAAACAGATTTGGACGGGAACCTAATCAAATTCAGTGTTTAGGTTCAATGTTGACCTTATGGGGAAATTTGATTTGGTTCTCATCCTGTTCAGTCTGATTCCATGATCAGAATCATGGAGAGAATTGAGTTTATGAACTGAGGTACCCCTTGTATGTTAGTGAATTAGCAGATAATGATTCTACATTATAATATAAATGATATACTAGATTTGAAGAAAAAAGAGACAGTTTATATTTTGAAAGTTGAAAAGCAAATATCCTCAGATATTCCTGTGGAGAGGCATTGTTTTTTACATTGGGAAAATCAGAATGCTTTGGTAGTTTAAAATACATTACATTAAAACACATTACTAGCCATGTGTGGTGGTGCACGCCTGTAATCCTAGCATTGGGAAAGCTGAGGAAGGAGGATTGCTAAGAGTTTGAAGCCAGCCTGGGGTACAAGGTGAGTTTAAGGCCAACCTGAACTACAGAGTGAGACCCTGTCTCCAAAACAACAGCAGAACCAAAACACACACACACACACACACACACACACACTACTTTGTCAAACACTGAGTTCATGTAGAATTGAATTTCTTTGTGTCTCTGTATATCATTAACACCCGGATAATAATTAATCATGGAGTTACCTATTAAGTAAAATTCAGTTTCCCAATTATATGTTATCTGATAAGTATATTATAAATTACAAAGTGCAGTTTTGGGGAAAGTTTGTTTCATATTATTTCTGATGGATTTTGAGCATAGAATTTTTGGTAACAAAGTCAGAGGGGATCTGCTTATCACACACTCATTTTTATAGCCTGTGCATGCTACTCACATGTTTATTACATTATAGCAATTTGAGATCTTCTAAACATGGGACAATTGATATCTTGTGTTTCAGTTTAGAATGTATGCCTTTAATGTAAAAATTGATTGATTAGTGAAGCCTAATTGTTTGCTTTTGTAAAAATGAACACTAAGAGCACAGAAACATTAATTGAATATTTCTTGATATCAGAGCCCACTTTTAGAAGATGCTTATGGTTTTCACTGTTAGAGTTTAAACTGAAAGGAAAACTGGAAATGACTTCTTGAACATTTGAGGATAGCTCAGGATGAGTAGTTGGGCAGGTAATATAAATATACTTTTAATTTTCACCTGTCTTTTAACATCCAGCTTGTGCTGGACTAATACCTAAAAGGTCAAGGGAACATTTCCATCTGTGTGTTCCACTTTCCGACAAGTTCTGTCGCTTCTTTCAATGTGTGGATATGGAGATGCCAGCCAGAAGAACACATCAATGATGCTGATGTAGCGAGAGCAGATAGGGCTACAGTGGTCCTTGTTGCCTGATGCGCCAACACCGCCCACGGTCATTTACAATACTCATTTTTCTGAGACTTACTGTGTGCCAGGCACTCGCCCAAGCGTACTTCACACACGACTGCCTTCTTTATCATCCTTTTAAGAACTAGAAGACTTTAGGCTTGGGAAATTTCAGGCACTTGCCTGAGATTATACAGCAGTTAGGCCAAGAACTGGGATCTGAGCCAGAGTAGAAACCATTCTTAAGTATTCCTATGCAATATATTGCTACAGATATAGTTGCATAGTGATCATCTTCTCTGCTTATCGTAACCCCTTCTTATTTGTTAAGCACGGTGTGATATATCACTAAAATCTAAGAGTGCATGGTCTGATTGGGAGAAATGCATTAATTAGAAAACAGAATGTGGGCAATGTTCTTGTTGTTTTTCAGGTATGCGTATTATTATACTGGAATCGGTGCTGGTGTGCTTATTGCTGCTTACATTCAGGTGTCATTTTGGTGCCTGGCAGCTGGAAGACAGACACAGAAAATTAGAAAACAGTTTTTCCATGCTATAATGAAACAGGAGGTAGGCTGGTTTGATGTGCATGATGTTGGAGAGCTGAACACCCGTCTCACAGAGTAAGTACCTAGTTTTATGTGTAACTCAGATGTAGTTTTTATTGTAAATGAAATGCGATAGATGTCATCAAATCTTTTTAGGAGATACTAGTGCACCATTCAGAGGACTAAGTTCCTTCCGAGTAGCAACCATGTCCTGTGCACCTGGCATGGAATGGTGGGAACTGCTTGACTGGCAGTGAGTCGGGGAGTAAAGCAGTATGCAGCAGAGCAATGAAATGATACTTACTGGTTAAATTTCCATGTAGTTTGAAATTTCTGCGTTGCCTACTTCCTGAGTAACCACCTCCATTTCCTGGGACCTTGTGTACTACGGATTTCTGTTGTCAATGACAGACCTTCTACTAGGAACCGACACCCTGATGAATGAAACACACATGCACAGAAAAACCCTAGATATGATCTGATTTATGATGCGCTCAAGAAAATGAAACCAAACAAAACAAAATACAAAAGTGGGCATAGGAGAAAAGTTCTGTGTTTGTACTTCTGATGTTTCTTCTAACATTATCTGTTCTTTAGTGATGTTTTCAAAATTAATGAAGGAATTGGTGACAAAATTGGAATGTTCTTTCAATCAATGGCAACATTTGTGGCTGGTTTTATAATAGGATTTACCCGTGGTTGGAAGCTAACCCTTGTGATTTTAGCCGTGAGCCCTGTTCTTGGACTATCAGCTGCTATCTGGGCAAAGGTAGGTGAGCCCTCTGAATCTAGGTTTTAACTACTGCCTATACCCTGTGGAAGGGTCTTGAGCCATGATAGCCCTAATGTTGTATTTCATACTTGCTTTTATACCTTCTGGTCAAAAGCAGTAGGATAATCTGATGCAGCCTCACCGAGTACTGCCTCTGCCATGGCTCTGTAGTTCCTTGTACACTTGGTTATTTGGGGAAGGGGCAAGAGGAAGGAAGTAGCTTTTATACTTCATTCTCTGGCTGGTATGAAATATATGCGGAACTCTAGAGTTTATGTTAGCGTTAGGGTTAGGGCACACTTAAATCATTTTTTATTTTATATAAAAATAAAACAAAATTTCATAACCAAATAATAAGACAATAGTTAATACACTATGTACCATTATCTTCAAAGTTGCTACTCATAGTACAGGACACAGACAAAAAGATTCTCCTACAAAGAGGAAACAGATAATAGCACAAAAGTTTCTCTCCAGCGACCTAAGAGGAACTAGTAATATGAATGTAACAAATTAGCATATATATTAAAATATTTTTGAAACAATAGAATAGGTAATTTATTTTCTTTTTAATGCTTACAAAACACCAAGATAGGGTACATCCTTTGCCATAAAACAAACCTTAGTGAATTCAAAGGAATGCAAACCATAAAGTGTCTTTTCTTTGACTATTGAAGTAAAAAAAGATAAGAAAATTTCTAAACACATGGAAACAGCACACTCGCCCTTTGATCATACAAAAAATCTTTAAATTTAGAGACACATAGAACAGCAATAACAAAAAGAACTCTAGTAGTAAATGTTTATATTTGAAATGAGGAAATGCCTTAATTCAGTACAGTAACCTAAGTTCCTATCTCAGGAAATTAGAAAAAAACAATAAAATAATACCGAGCAAGTAGAAGAAGGAAAGTACAAAGATAAATGCAGAAAGCAAATTGAAAACAGAAAAAAAAAGAAAACAAACGGAAAATAGATTTTTAAAATATTTATTAATAAATTTGTCAAGTCTCTAGTGAAGTTGATAAAAGTAGAGACAGAAGACACAAGTAGCCAATATCAGAATCAAATTGGGAATGTCACTAATCATATACACACTAGAAAGATAAGAGAATGCTACGGACAACTTTATGCTCATAAATTTATGGATCATTTCCTTAATAACCACAAAATACTCAAACTCAACTGAAAGAAACTAATCTAGCTTTTGTAAATAGGAAGTGGTGGAAGGGTTGAAGGGAGGGGAGAAGAATGGGAAAAAAATAAAAGTGAAGATATATCATGGACTGGTACGAATTCCCTATGATGAATGAGATCATTATGTATACCTAAAATGTACAAATAAACTTAATTAATCAAAAAAGAAAAAAACTCCTAATTATAAAATATGTCTTGGTAACACTTCTGCTGTTGGGTCAGGAGGAAAGGAGAGAATCACTGTCAAAGCTTGCCACGTGAGCTCTGTGTTCTGCAGATCTGTTGGCTCAGGAAAGGCCCTGACCACCCTACCCCAGTGCTTACATGACTGCGGAATGTGGAGTGGGGCAGCCCTCAGAAGATGGCTTTGAGGAGTTAGGAAGGTCTTGTGGATCAGTGGGCTATTGTTTGGGGGACCAAAGAGGACAGATAACATGCAGCATAATGTCTGCACAGAGAACATGAGTAATACATGTTCACAGGCCTTCACCCATTCTTGCAGTTACCATGGCTCCTTTACTGTCACACACAGGAAAGGATGAAATGTACTATGAAAATCACTTTGATCATTTTATACCAGGAAATAATATTGAACAGATGAAGAATTCTAGAAATACCATACATTAGCTGTTGAAAGTACAGTGTGATTTAATCAGAATTTTATTACAAATTGTGTACAATGCATACTTACATGGTTGTGCTCTCCAGCATTTCTAGTACAGGCAGAAATCTTAGTGCTTTGCCAGACCAGTTGGCCCAGCTTTCATAACTGTTCACATATCTGTGGCTTTAGAGAGATTCACTCCAGTGATGGTTAATTCAGGCTTTGAAGCCATGGCACCCAGGCTTGGATCCTGGATAGTCCACTGAGTAGCAAATTGCTTAATGCTCGTTTCCATTTTCTCATTTATAAGTGGGAAAACTAATATGTAGTCACTGTGCATTGGAGAAGAACAAGTAAAATCTTTTGCCTACAGAATAAGTGCTCAGGAACCAAACCGAAGAAGCAAAGAGCATCCAGGAAGCAAAGACTTCCCTTGGTGGCAGCATGTATTCATTTTTCTAGGAGCACCAGCAAAGGAGACTCTGCTTCCCTGGCATGTGAAGCCTTGAAGTCCGGGGTCCCCTGCATTCCTCTACCCTTATCCTCCTTCACACTTCCAAACCACAGTATCGTCACCAATTAGTGTGTTCACACATGTAAATACCGAATAGTTTTTCTGGTGTGAAAAACTGAAAGTGTAAATAAGAATCAAAATATATAATTAATGTTGTGAAATAGAAAATGTCTAAAGGAATAGGGGAAGTGGGAGGGGAAGGAGAAAGGAAAGAAGGGAAAAGAAAAAATATGAGAAAAGGAAAAAATGGAAACAAAGACTTTGTAAATAGGGAAGGGTGGAGGGGGTGAAGGGAGGGCAGGGAATGGGGAAAAAATAAGAACCAAGATACATCATGTAAAGGTACAAAATCCCAATAATGAATGTAACTGTACTGTACACCTAAAATGTACCAATAATCTAAATGAAAAAAAAATTAGTGTGTTCATTGTGCACCATATTTCATTGATATATGTATATATCCTGTTTTCTGTTTATAATTATAGTATAGTATAAATTTAACATCTCCACATTTTAGTTATATTTATGGAGATAAGGATCCATGAGGTTTTCAGTACAAAATGCTGGGGATTAATCTAATTTTTTATACTCTATTTTAGACTAAATTCAAGGTGTTTACAGAGTGAATATATGCTAAAGTATGAATATCATAACCACAGACAACTCAAAAAAAGATTGTTTCTCAAGCATTAATATACCAGCAGCGTTTGTGTGTCTGTGTATTTTTACTTTGAAAAACATAACTTACTAAAATTTTTAAATCACTCTAAGTTGCAATTTTAATATTTTAACAGGTACTGTCTTCATTTACGGATAAAGAGCTCTTGGCCTATGCAAAAGCGGGAGCCGTGGCTGAAGAAGTCTTAGCAGCCATTAGAACTGTGATTGCATTTGGAGGACAGAACAAAGAACTTGAAAGGTTTGAGCTCTTGTTTGTTTGTTTGTTTGTGTATTTGAGTTAGGGTCTCCTTTATGTAGCCCAGGCTGCCCTCAAACTCATGGCGATCCTCCAGCCTCAGCCTCCCTAGTGCTGACATTACAGGCGTGTGTCACCACGCCTAGCTCTGTGTTTCTTATTTAAACTGAGATGTGCTAAATTCTGTGTCAGCTCAGATGTCAGATGTCCTGGGGACAGTTTTAATTAGAAGAGGTTTTTTTTTTCTAATATATATATATGATTCCTTAAATAACAATGGATATACTACAGCATTAGTAAAGGAAAATTTGCAATTCTAGTCCTACTGTTTTTGTATCTTATAATTCAAAGAATTCCCTTGTGTTGTCTAGATGAGTAATGACAAAATTAATTTATAAAATCTATAAAATAATTTTCTAAGGCTGAAATATGTTTTATATCTCTGATTATTATTGTTTTTGGCCTATTGAACTAATTCTTGATTCTGTAATATTGAATGATTATTTTCTATAAGGCCTATGGAATATTTTAATCTGTGGATTATTTTCCGTCTTGCCCAGGTTCCGACTTAGGTGAGGTATATTCTGTGATTTGATGATAACATTATAAGCACATTGTTAGAAAAAATTGAAGATCTTTCTCATGATGGGTTGCTTAGCATTAATCTTGTGACTTACTTTTTATCAGATTTGAGTATAAATGCTAAAGTAATTAAATTCATAATATTCATCAGATCTATTGATGTCTGAGTATTACAGGACTTTTTTTTAACATTTAATACAGTTATAGATAAAAGAACCTTTTGTTTAGGGGATTATAAATTGTGTTGTAAAGCCATCAGGAGGATTTTATTTAACCTATGACAAGATGAGAGCTTGTATCATAAGAGCAGGACACATGGCCTTTGACTCTCTAGTTCTGACAGTGTTGTCTTTCTTCACTTTGTGCTTAAATCGATAGTTGTGGTAGAATTTTTTTTTTTTTTACAGCATACATGTGTTTGGAGTTCTGTTTTGTTCATAAAGACAGTTCATGCTAGCTGAGTCCCATAGTTTAAAGGAAGCCAATATCTACATTTTGTGATGATTTTTGCCAGAGGTTTTGTTTTCGCTTTGAAATGTCTGACTAATAAAATGGCATGTTTTGCTTAATGACTGGCCTAACATCTAGTCGAATAGCAGGAGGAGGAGAGGGGACAGACAACTAAAACAAAACAAAAATAGAAAAGAAGGCATCTAATATACCAGTTGGAAGAAATATTACTTAAATAAAGTACTGAATCATAATATTATATTTAAAGTGGCATTAAATTATAGAATTTTTTAAAATGCTCTGAAAATATGAAAGTTCCTGAGGGTGAAGAGTGTGAATTGAGTGTGTGGTCAGGGAAAGCCACTTTGAGGAATTTCCATCTCAACTGAGACCTGCGGGATGAGAAAACCCCAAGGTAGAAGTAGGGATGGGGTTGGCTGAAGAGAAGTCTCCAACTTTACTGCCATAGGAAAGGCCTTGATGCTTTCTGGGAAATCCGAGGAGGCTTTTGTGACTAGTTCCCGGTTGAGGGCGGGGAGGTTAGGGTGGGTTCGGGCTAAACATTGGAGTCACTTGTAAGCTATGGTGAAGAGTTAGGATTTATTCTGAGGACTCGGGGAATGGCTGACAGTGTTATAATAGAGGAATGATCGGTCACGTTGTGTTGTAAGATTATTTCTCACTCTGTAAAGTTTCTGACGCATGAGAGAAATAGAGGGTGGAGTCAGAGAGCACAGAGGGGGCTGGTGTAGGGGTTTGGGTTAAAAGGGGAATGGTGGACTGAGAGGAGGGAGGAGAGGGGGCACAAGGACAAGATTTAGGGTTTAGTTTGGAAGGAGAGTTGGTGAGACTTCTGAGACCAAGTCCAGTCCCTTAGTTTTCTTTCAAGCTCTCCTCTGCGTCCATGTAGATAAGCAATTAAAGTCTCCGTTTCACTTTCTCTTCCACATAGCAGTTGCAAGAGGGGCTTACTCTCTCGGAATGAGAATTTAACCAGAATTAAAAATAAATTTAATTTGGCACTTAGGAGTAGTCTTGTTATCCTTAATCTAAAAATATTTTTCTCTCCGTGCATCTTGCAAATGTGTGTGTATGAGTATTGATTGTTATTTGCTTGAAGTAAATGCCCTTGCTGTTTTAAGTACCTACTTGAATCAGTAAATATTTTCATAATAGTTAAGAAGAATAACATTTTAAAAATGCTTTACTACTTTAGGCCATTTTAGGAACTGTTAGTTTAAGTATCATTTTCTTACTAAAGTTTCTAATGAATAGGATGATTTTAAAAGTTGGTTTTATAGGAGTGACATTTTTATTAAGAAACTAACCAGAAAGCCTGCGTAAAAGGAGTAGTGTTTGTCTGCTCCCTTTTCTACCCTTTATTTTCATTTATGGCATCTAAATGATTTTCTTCCCTATTACTTCTTCTTGTGCAAATGTCTCTTCTTGCCGCATAGGACGACATCGTATCAGTGAAATGGTTTCCACAGTCTCGGTAAGCAAGACCTGAAATATGAGTCACAGGCATTAAAATTCCTTGGTGAAATCATGTTTAATTTATTCCAAGTGGTACCTTTTATTTCAGCTCAACTACTAAAATGGGGAACACACACACACTCTTATGAAATGTGTATATTAAAATTAATTTTTTATTCAAAGATTATGCTGGCAGGCCAGAATTTACATATTTTAGCCATGTGCTTAAATTTGGCCTTTAGTGGACAGGATTGTCATGTAAATTTCATTTGGCATGCTCTTGTAGCTGTGGTAAAGTATCTAGTTTGAAGAAGTCGTGAAGGCAAGAAAGACTGCTTGCTCACATCTGGGCAGGGCTTGAACTCTACTGTACATACAAATGAAAGAACTTTCTAACAAAAATTGATAGATATTTGCAGTGATATAGTGATGCATTTAATTGATCAAAGGCAACAAAATATGAATCCGCTGTAGAACTCTTCTTTCATTTCAACAATTATGAGCTGCTTTTTGCAAGGCAGTGCTCTAGGTTCTTCAGAGAGTTCTGATAATAGGATAATGATAGATTTAAGGCTCAGTTATTGTCTTTTTTCTAATAATTTCACCTTGGTGTTCTATATTTTCAAAGTTATCCTTTCTGTATGACTCTTCAGCCCTATTTTCTTATATCCATTTATCTTTTTGAGGTGAATAATGCGCTGTATTTCTTTCAAATGAAGGTAAGGTGGCACACACCATTTCTTTTATCTTTAACATAGAAATTGTTCACTCTTCAAAGATTTAAAAGTACAGTAAAGCCCTTGGTTTGTGAGCATAATTCATTTCATGAACATGCTTGTTGTAATATAAAGCGCTTAATATATCAAAGTGAATTTCCCCATAAGAAATAGTGGAAACTCACATGATTCATTCCACAACCCAAAAATAGTTATATAAAAATGATTACAAACTGTAATATAATACAAAACAATAAAGAAAATACAACATATAAAGAAAAATAAACAAATTAACCTGTAGTTACTTTTGAAAACCTTCTTGGCTGGTGTAAGGGAGACGAGAGAGGAGGGTTATTGTGTAGAACGAGTTTCACTATTGCTAACGGGATCACCGCTGTCTGCTGGCTCAATGGAATCTTTTTTCTTTTCATGCAACTTTAAGAAAGAACATATCCAATGACACTTGCTTTTGCTTCCTTTTGAGGATTTTGTGGAAATGTGACATTGCCTTGTCCTTAAACAGATTTATAGCTCCCACTGGGTGGTGCTTTTCTACATAATTTTGCACTGTTTCCCACATTTTACACATCTCCCTAATCTCATCTGAAGGGAGGAATTCCTCTGCCTATTTCTCTTCCTCCTCTACAGAGGAGATATTTTCCATAATCTCTTGCTCTTGGGAGAGAAGTGCCCATAATCCCAAGGGGCAGGGGAAGGAACCATTAGCTCAGTTGTGAACATGTACCTTTTGGCATCATGTACTACTTGCATTGCAAGACATCACTAATATTTATTAGAAATGTTTGCTCATCTTGCAGAACATGTTACTCATAATCCAAGATTTTATTGTGCTTACAGTATCACTTGGAAAATAACTCATAAGAACTGAAAAAGAATATGTCAGTGGACCGCAACATTGGCTTTTGGTTTTTCAGTTCACTTCTTTGTTTTCAGCCCCTTTTATAGAATTCATTATATTAGTTCCAAGCAGTCTTAATGGATGCTTTCCAAGACTTTTGTGCTGTCAACCGGGTATAAGGCTATCCTTGTACTGACATTTTGGTTTTCATAATCACTGCAGCCCGAAGGTCTCTGGTGGCCCAAGCCACATGCAAGAGCCATTTTTTCTAGCTTCCACCTGGCACAGAATGACAAATGCTAGGAAAGATGTGTAGGCAGTATGGAGAAAGGATAAAAGAAGGAGACACTGATGAACAGTGATAAGCTATCACATATTTTTAAGTAAAAATATTTTTATGGATTAGTGACTTTTAAAATACATATGTTTGGAATTAACATGTACTACAATTTATTTCAATATACAAATATGACATATCAATTGAAAGCTCTCAAAATGCTTTCACACAAGTAATCTCACAGTTGGTCCTTAAAACAGTCCTTGAGGGAGGCAGAACAAAGATCAGGCTCTCCAAACTTCTTTTGTTTTGTTTTCTTTTTTGGTACTGGGGACTGAACTGGGAGATCCTTCCGCTTGCAAGGTAGGCAGTGGAACCACTGAGCTAAATCCCCGGCGCTCTAAACTTCCTTAAGGTTCAGAGATTTAAATTACTTTCTTCTGCGTAGTACTTTCTGGTATTATATCTCCATTATGTTAATTAATGACGGAGGCATACAGATTTTGAAGAAGTTTTTCCCATAGGTTCTATTTTGTTTTATGTATGAAAATATATCTTCCAGAAGTTTGCAAAATATTGCTTCACTTATTTTGATCTTGCTAAGGCCAAGGTTGGAGCTTTCAAATTTCCTCACAAACAAACTGCTCTCTGTAAGCCTCAGTTTTTCTGTCTACAACAAGGGGAAGAAGGAGTAGTAACTAACTGTACAGGGCTTGGCACACTGTAACTCCTCAATACCATCATGCTATATTGACATACTTTTCCTAAAATGTATAGATGTATCTGATAATTTTCATTCTTTCTCCCAGGTACAATAAAAATTTAGAAGAAGCTAAAAGAATTGGGATTAAAAAAGCTGTCACAGCCAACATTTCTATTGGTGCTGCTTTCCTGCTGATGTATGCATCTTATGCACTGGCATTTTGGTATGGGACCACCTTGGTCCTGTCTGGTGAATATTCTATTGGACAAGTACTCACTGTAAGTTATATGTGAGTTATAAAAAGAAATCATCACCAAAAATGTCAATGAAATTGAGCAGTATTGGTTTAACTTGAGAAGAACATATTTTGAAAAACAATGGAATATTAGAAACGTGTAAGGTGGCACTGGGCTGTAATTCCATCTATTTGGGAGGCTGAGGATTGCCAAATATGAGGCCAGCAACATAGCAAGACTATGTCTCAAAAATAATATAAAAAGGCTTAGGGATATGTCTCAGTGTTACAGTGGGTGCTCAGTATGCGTGAAGCCCTGGGTTCAATCCACAGCTCCACAGAAGATAAAACAGAAAGAAAAATAAAAAGTAGAAAGGGAATTAGATGCATCTAGCAAACAATCTTCTCTTTTTTTTACATCTCTTGCATAGTTTTTCCTGTGGCTGACCAGTATTAATGTTAATAATCTCTCTAGCATGGATTTGATATGATGAAATCATTTCTTTGTGCCAAATCTGATGGTAGGCTCTTCACATTTGTTTTCCAATTTACTGTTCACAAAACAAATGGTAAAACACATAGTTTAATTTAATTTTTTAAGGTCAAGCATAAATATAAATACCTGTGGAAAACTGTGTTTTGTTGAATCCATTAAAACAGTTCCTTTTCTCAAGCTTCAGTTTTGTAATATCAATGTAATAATTGCCTCTTGTTATTTTTAAATAGTTGCCTCATCCAACATTTTGACACTGTTAGTTTAGGAGTGGCTTTTACCAGAATTTCTAATCATAGATGTATACTGTTTAACTGTGAAGTAGATAAGCAGTTTATTTTATTTTATTTATTTTTATTTTGCTCTGCTTGAGGTGGAGCCCAGGGCCTCACTCATGGTAGATGAGTGCTTCTACCACTGAACTATGTCCTCAGTCCTAAATAAGCAGTTTAAATTCAGTATTCCTGGAATCCAAATCTGCTTCACAGAGTAGAGGTATCCAGAAGAGTAAGTATAGGATTTGATGGGTGTGGTTCAAATTCCAGGTCTGCACTTACTAGCTGTGTTATGTAGGGCAGTCACCTAAATCTTGCAGGCCTGTTACCTCTTCCATCAAATCGATGTGTGAAGTGTGTGCCCTCCCTTTGAGTATTGTCGTAGAATGTGAAATAATGAGTGTAGAATCACTTAGCCAAATTCCTTCTGTGTAAACTTTTAGGCAATGTAATTCCCATATGATTTAGGAAAAAATGAATAGTGACAATAGTTTGCCTTAACTTCTAATAGAAACAGAAACAAGTGTTTACGTCCCATTTTGCCTTCCCAGGGATCTAAATAAAAATTCTAAGCCATTGAAGAAATACAAAAATGTTCTATTTATGATATTATGACCACTTATTTACATCACTGTTTCACTGATCAAGTGAGGCCAATTGTGCGTTGTTAATATACTAAATAAAAGAATTTAAACATTAAAATTTTTTACATTTTAAAAATTTATATTACTTTCACTTGACAAATTATAATTGTATTAGTGTTGTACAGTATAATGTAATTTTTTCATATATATATATACACACAATGTAGAGTGATTAAATCAAGCTAATTAACATCTATCACCTTAATATTGTTGAGGTAGAACATTTAAAATTTACTCTTAGTTATAAACTTTTAAAGTATTTTTAATATTCATATTCTTACATTGCCTTGCAATTTAAAAATGGAGTTAGTTATGATGGAAGAAAGAAGTATGGAATATATATAGTAAACACCAAGTAACTTGATGGTTTTCCTTCACATTCCTCAGGTCTTTTTTTCTGTATTAATTGGGGCTTTTAGTATTGGACAGGCATCTCCGAATATTGAAGCATTTGCAAATGCAAGAGGAGCAGCTTATGAAATCTTCAAGATAGTTGATAATGTAAGTCTGAGCAGGCTTGTCGCTAAGAACAGATTTTCTGTTTAGAGAAAATCTCTTCAATTTTCTTATCATTTTATCTTGTTCTCCACAAAATGTCACTAAGAGGTAGTTACTGTAACTTATTAACTTACTGATCTTCTGAACATTGATTCTGTGTAGGAGCCATGCATTGACAGCTTCTCAACAAATGGCCACAAACCAGACAATATTAAGGGAAATTTGGAATTTAGAAATATTCACTTCAGTTACCCATCTCGAAAAGAAGTCAAGGTATGAATGACTAAACAATATGTTGGATGAAACATTTCTGACACTAAGAGATATATAGAAAGGAAAATGCATGTGTACTTTAGCCTAGTATTGAATAGAATGTGGCCTGTATCTGTTTGTGTGAATTGTCTTGAAGTCTGCTTCTCCCTTGCCTTGGTAGATCTTGAAGGGCCTCAACCTGAAGGTGCAGAGTGGGCAGACCGTGGCCCTGGTTGGAAACAGCGGCTGTGGGAAGAGCACGACGGTGCAGCTGTTGCAGAGGCTCTATGACCCCAGTGAGGGCACGGTGAGCGGGACTTGGGCCCTCAGCAGTCACCGCTGCAGATCCTTCTCGTGTTGTGGTCTCAACTGCAAGTGTATGGAAATCTCACTCGTTTTTTATTTCAGGTCACTATTGATGGGCAGGACATCAGGACCATAAATGTGAGGTATCTGCGGGAAATTATCGGTGTGGTGAGTCAGGAACCTGTGCTGTTTGCCACCACGATAGCTGAAAACATCCGCTATGGTCGAGAAAATGTCACCATGGATGAGATTCAGAAAGCTGTCAAGGAAGCCAACGCCTATGACTTCATCATGAAACTGCCTCATGTGAGTGGTTCTTTCAAAGCAGAGAGCTCTGGTCCATTATAATCCATATGAAATTAGGAAGCTACTACAAATTGGAGGAGTAGCCTAAGAATGGAAATCAAGGTTACCTTGTGTGTGGCAAGATCAATTAGTGGTAGATAACAGTTTTTAAAAGTGTGGTTATATGTTGCAGATTTTATTTTTTTATTTTTTTATTTTTGGTACTGGCGGTCGAACTTGGGACCTTGTGCTTTCGAGGCAGGTGCCGGAACCACTGAGCTAAATCCCCGGCCCAATGTTGCAGATTTTAAAGAATGGGATTTTATTACCTGTGAGGCTTGGGTGGTTTATGGGATCACTTCCCAATTTAAAATGTGATGTGAAAAAACTTGTTCTTTTTCTCTGTCTTTGGTGATTTTTCTGTTGTAGAAATTTGACACCCTAGTTGGAGAGAGAGGGGCCCAGCTGAGTGGTGGACAGAAGCAGAGAATCGCCATAGCACGTGCCCTGGTGCGCAACCCCAAGATCCTGCTGCTGGATGAGGCCACGTCAGCGTTGGACACGGAGAGTGAAGCAGTGGTCCAGGTGGCCCTGGATAAGGTCTGTGAGCCCTGGTTCGCACCAGCTGGTCTTAAGGATAATAGCGTTATCTTGTTAATTCTTTTATTCTGATTTATTTTTTTTTTATTTCTGATTTTTTTCCCCCAGGTGATTCCTTTACCTATGAAAGTATTAGGCCTCCAAGACATTCAGGGTGTTAGAGGAGAAACAGTTCATGGCATGGCAGGCAGGAAGCACTTAGCTTTCCTTCTTTCCCTTTTATCCAATAGAGTCTACAAGCCTATTGGTTGTGCCACTCAGACTCAGGGTGGGGCTTCTGTCCTCAATCAGTCCATTCAGCTACACCCAGAACTATTCTAAACTAATTACTGGGTTAATCTAATGATATGCATCTTTAATCCAGGATCACATACCCATGATCCAGCTACCTCCAAAAGCCCCACCTCTAAGTACATGAAGCTTTGGGGGATAGCTAGATATTAACCATAACTACCTTCTTGCAATTCCATAGTACATGAAAGACTTATTCACCATATACAGTCTGAGTGTGCTCCTTCTGTTCAGGCAGACTCTTTGTGGTCAGTCTTCATATATTACAGTAACCATGCCACCTCTGTGAGGACAGGGAATGTACAGACCTTAACCAAAGCTGCTTTGGGTAGGACTGTCACAAAGTTTCAAAGATAAACCCACATTCCTTACAATTCTCCTCTCTCCAACAATAAAATGTTTTATGTTCCTTTAAACATCCTATCAGTAGATTATTGCGGGAGTGAAAAGCAGTTTGCCAAACATTCTGTGAACCAAAGTAGAAGCAGATGAGATTATGACTGCTTTTTTGCCATAGCATATCTGAGATTTCAATCAGTATTTTCCTGTTGTTTCCTTATCTTTGTTTTCACTTTATTCTAAAGTGGAACCATGTATTAAATTAGAAATAACAGTTTTGAAAGATTTCATTTAAAATATTTTTCTTAACTAAAATC